TCTATATCAACTTTCAGATGACCCTTGAGACATTACTTCAACACTGTGATTCTGGTTTCTTATCTATAAAGTAAGAATGATGATAATACTTTCCTCATAGGGTTATGTGAATAATAATAAAATGAGATAAGTTCTTAATGGGGTACCTACCACCATAGTAAGTGCTCAGTAAGGGGGGGATTCAGGAAAACATCCCTGGAACATTAGAGTACTAACGAAAGTTACAGCAAGAATGACACTGCGCTAAAAATTTACACAGATTACTGCCTCATTTAATTTTAAAACAATAACATAAGGTAAGTGCTATTGTTACCCCTATTTCACAGATAAGGAAAATGAGACTTAGAGGGCTTAAGAAACTTGTTAATGTCACACGGCTAATAAAAGACGGAGCAGGGGCTGACTAGGTGAAGACAGCAGCTATTATTATCATAGTCCTATCCCCATCATCACCATCATCAATGCAGCTCATGACCTCTTTAGCAGACTAAGGTGAAAAAACGAGTTTTGGGGTACTTCCAAAGATAATTGCCTCCCCTTGGAAGGAATCCAGAACAAGCCCACATTAAGCTAAATTCTGCATTAGAGTGGGCTGTTATACAGTTGGGAGGTTTTATTCCAAGCACCTAGAAAGCACATGAGAGATGAATAGATAGAATTTGTCAGATTTCTCTTTACCTCTAAACATACCCCAGTGCAATGAAAGGACTGGGGACAGAGTCATTTGTTCGTACCTAAAGGCATTTTTTAAAAGCAGCATTGAAATTAGCTCATCTGGCTGTCAGTCTCGAGGGAATCATACACAGCTGAAGAGAGGCATTCACACTTCACATGAACTATGCTTCACATTGTTAATGAGTAATGAAAAGGGATTTTTTGAGTGTAAATGCATGAGTGTGCAGTAAGAGCATTGAAAATGCAAAGGTGGAGTTTACTCAAGCTGAATTATATAAAGCCCTTGATTCAAAATTATTCACTTATTATATTTCCCCTATTTAAATTGTTTAAATAAATGTAGAGTTTATTTTGGATATAAATAAGCAAAGTGTGTACATTTTCCTAAAAAAATGTTTCAATGATTTATGATCATATATGTATATTTATTTTTAAATATTCATATAAAAGATGACAATAATTCCACAGAAACATAATATGCTTATAAATTTCAGAAAAGGAGAATAGAATATTAATATTAATACATTCTCATTATTTTTTCAAAAACAAATAAAATACTCTAGATTTTTTTTTTAAGAATAGTTTATTGATTTTTAGAGAGAGAGGAAAGGAGTGGGAGAGAGAAACATAGATGTGAGAGCACATCAATCGGCTGCCTCCTGCATGCCCCCTACCTGGTACAGCCCAGGCATGTGCCCTTGACAGGGAATGGAACTGGCAACCTCCTGGTGCATGAGGCGACACCCAACCAGTTGAGCCACACCGGCCAGGGCTGCTCTAGATTTTTAATAATAGGAGTTTCTAATGTACTCAAATGACCTTTAACTTTTGTCTCATAATTATCATCGAGAGAGTCAGACATTTAAAGTATGCTGTGATTTTTGTTTTAACCCAATTTAAAACAGGACTGTTAAAATACATGTTCATTAATAAATTTAGAAATATTCATGAACATTGGAAGAATTAAAAGCACTAGTTGTAACTGAAGATTTAATATGCAATTTGGCATTTCAGAGACTTGGTAGATAAAGCCAAATACCAGTAGAGCATTTCATAACAAGACTGTTAATGGAAATCACCTGAATATGGCATCTGATGACTAAGGAAATACACCCAAAGCCATTAGGTTGTGGAGTTTTCACATCTCAGTACCATGCTGAGTCCAACATGACAATCACTGTCATCCCGATCTGTATAGGAATTCAATCAAACGCAAGACCTCGTCACCCCCAGCTTCTTATCAGCAATTCTTGTCTTACTTCTTGACATACTTTAGGGTATATCTCAGGTCAAGATCAGACACCGGGAAGGATGTCCTTTGAAGAGACTCGGTCCCCTCCGCCCCTTTGCCACACCGTCTTTTTTGGGTTCTCTGGCTCAAACCCGGGCAATCCACGGCAAGTAGAGAGACAGCAGGTTAAGGGAGCTGGGCCGGGAAGAAGGCAGGGATTTCTATCACCCAAGAGACTCTGTATCTTAAAGTGGGTCATTGTCTTTATACGCTCCCAGTTAACTAGGCATTCTCTCTCTCGTTAGGATTGTTTCCATCAGTGGAAATCATAATTAAAGCCTAAGTGAAACTTTTAGGATCCTAACAGTCGAGATGAAATCTGGAATGAGGAAGACCCTCGTTTCAGTCCCTTCACAGAGTCCTTCACCTTTTCACTGTGTGCCCGGGAAAGTTACTTCGGGCCCGTGAGCCTGCGTTGAGCTCTGTACCTGAGGGTGGCAATACCTACCTCGCCCTCGCCCGATCGTGTGNCGTTTCAGTCCCTTCACAGACTCCTTCACCTTTTCACTGTGTGCCCGGGAAAGTTACTTCGGGCCGTGAGCCTGCGTTGAGCTCTGTACCTGAGGGTGGCAATACCTGCCTCGCCCTCGCCCGATCGTGTGATGTGGTCAGATGCCGAGCTTTGGCCTTACTATTAACGAGTGCTTATGGCCATCGCTACTTCTACAGGACACGATCATTGAAGCTGAAGGCCAGGGTCCTGGTGGCGGTGCGGGGGACCTGCAGCCACAGTCATCCTGTGCTATCCCTGGCTCCCTGCCTGAGCCCTCCCTTCCCACCCAAGGCTGTCATTCTCCCCCACAGGGTTCCTTCCTTCCTCAGCGCTATCTGTAGAGCTAGGGCAGACTTTATTGCTAATTATAAAGTTACTCACCCTAGGTAATGGGTGAGGCCTAACAGAGCTGTGGACTCTGCCTCTTTCAGTGCCCACGTAGCCTGTAACTGAGATGTCTGGGGAATTCTCCTCCCCGGGTAAGGTAAAGCTCTGCTCCCTTAAACAAATGAACAGCACAGTACCTAATCATAAGGATGAGCTATTTACCAGGTTAATTTTAACGCCTCCATATTTTGTGCCTGGAAGAGTTCTTTATAGAGTCAAAAGTTAACCAAATAGATAACTGTCAGAAGACTCATAGCCTACAAAAACTGCTACTTTATTTTTTTTATTTCTTAGTTTCACTGAAGTGGCTCTTTTATTCTCACAGAAAAAAGAAATGTGAGTGCTACAAGGACAGGGATCTTGTCTATTTTCTTCATAGGTCTGTCTAAAGCACCTAGGATAGTGCCTAGTACCTAATGGAAGTTCAAAAACATTTGCTGAAAGACCGGGGAAAACTCACCATGAAACTCCTGCCCTTCTTTAGAATCTTGAAAAATAAATAAATAAATGCAGCCACACTTCGATTTTATTTTAAAATCGCACAAAAGTGACATGTCTCCAGGTGCTGTGTTTAGGAGGGCAGCCTGTGGCCATTCGGCCTGGGTTTGAATTTGGACTGTGTGACCGACCCAGTAAAGCGCATTCGCTTCATCCCTGTGTCTCAGTTTCCCCTTCTGTAAAATGGGTATCCCGGTACTTCATAGTATTATTATTAGGGTCAAAAAAGGCACTGGGTGAGTGAATGACCTAAAATTTCCTGGCATGAAATAAGCACTCAATAAATGCTGGGAACACGCAGCCTCCCCGAGCCCTGCTGGGAGCGAGCGCCGTGACCACGCGGGGCAGCGGCCGCAGCGGCCCTGACCGCGAGCTC